CCCTGCTTTGCATATTATACCTACTTAAATTTTCTTACTTGCTCTTGAATTCACACAGATTGTTAGAGTACACACTTGATGTCTAACCTCCGTGTTATAATACACCTCTAAATTTAGCCCCATATTTTAGTCTGTAGTTTAAATGTATGTCATGATGTTCAATAAATGTTCCTCTTACAAGAATTACAGCTGTTTGTTTATAAGCAGTTTGTACTATCAACCGTGTTAAAAATGCATGATTTTAATGTAGTAATGAAAAAAGTTGGAAAACTCTTACATAAGATGGCTGCTTTTGTTCTTGAAATTACTGAGCCAGACTGCCATCTATTGGAAAATAAATATTTTTTTTAAATTATACTTTTTTTTTTGAAAACTGAATCTACTACAAGTTGTTGTCAAAAGCTGATTTTGCTAGCAATAATACTTAAGAAAGCTTAATTTTTTAAAAGGAAACACCTGAGTTAACTAAACTGTGATACAATCAAGGATTTTCCTACATATTTTCCCCCCTTGTTTTCTAGAACATGTTTTGAAAAGCACAGCTCCTTTTCTGACTTTCTGAACAAGCAAATCCTAGTTATCTGGAGTGAAAGTTTTGTATTTAGCAAACGTCAAAAAACCGTAATATGTCAGCACTGAACAGCACACAAATATAAATCTTTCCCAACTCACCTGTGCAGTGGCTATCAGGGCTTTCCATGTCTTTGCATACACAAGAGAACTTAAGAATGTATTCAAGTCACAATAACCAAAATGGGGGGGGGGCGGGGAAAGGCAGACAGGAACTGGGAGTAACAATCTATGAATCCACCATCAACCCCACCCAATGTACAAGCCTTTGAGAAAAATGAGCAATTCCAACTAAAATCATGCCTCGGCGTATAAATGCCCTTTTGGAGCTCTCTCTGAAGTAGCATAACAACTCACATTTCCAGTCGCAAAATTATGTTCAACCTGGCCTTTAATTTTGTGGAGACAATGAACAGGGCATTGTTGTCTGACATCTCATAACATACAAGTATTAATGACGGATAAAGATAGACTAGAAAACATGGAATTAATATTTCATGTGGCAGCACATCAGAAGTACATTGAAACACAGCCAGAGTTGCAAAAGTAAGCACTGAAATGATAAAGTTTCCAGTGTAGCTTTAACTTGACTTTCTTTAGTTTATAATGTACCCTTCAGATAAAAGATCAAGGTAACTTATTCCCATCTGACTTTGTGCTATTCAGCAAACAGGCATTCATAGTTTTCACCCTCTTCATTAATTTCTCTCCTTGATCAGGAAGCTAACACAGTCTGCTTTTCCAGAACCACAAAATTTTCCCAGTTTCCCTTTCAGCTTTTGGGGTGTGTCCTGTGGGGACATTTTTACTCATCTCCAGATCTGTTCCTATTCACATCTACACTGTGGTGTCCATTCTTATTCTCCTTAGTTTTACTTACTGCTTCACTGTACCTTCCCAGATGTTCATGACCTCCAGTCCTTAAGATCCTGCCCTTCAATTTTCCTATTCAGTTCTTCCATGTCCTGAGGAAACTTAAGAGCCAACACAGAGTTGACTAGTAATTTGGAATCAAGATGACTAAACCCAACATTTTCATCCAGAAAGTTTTCATTTTCACCAAACATCAGAGCTGTGCAAACTCTGCTTCCTATTTGACTTCAAAATATTGTAAGCATATAAACCTCTGTGTTTTTTTAATGCCTTATGTCACACACATCACACACCTAGTCAACAGAAACATATTAAGTAATAAAATGTGTAGTGTTTTCAATGCAAAATTTCGTGAAAAGAAGGAAGTCCCTTAGTCCAAACATAAGAGAACCACTTGCTATGTGGTTGGATGACTAATTATCCAATAACTCAGCAAATGGAAGAATGGATTCAATTCTGTCCTTGACCTAAGAGAGGTCCAACCCACAACTTCTTCAAAAGGAAATATGATATTCTACAGGTGCTGTATCACTAAGCAACAAACAATGCAAGACATCTGAGGCCAGAAAAAGAACAGAATTTGCTGGTGAATAGAGACTCTAAGTCCTGCTCTCAGGATTGCACTGGTATTTTTTCAGTGGTTGTAAAATCCAGAGTGAATACTGGAGGGGATTGACAGTCCTTTTATTTGGGAGACTATGAAAGTGATGTTAAAACCCACACTTATGCCACAGAGAGAACTGAATGACAGCCTTCCACTTTCCAGATGAAGCCTTTTACTGTCAAATTACTGCATTAGAAAGCAGACATCCCCACTATCCTTACACCAAACAAAACCGGTAAGCCCTGTTCTTTCAAATAAAAGAGGCTGGCACTCAGATTCAGGAGACAATTCCAGGCTGTGGATCCTAGATAGACAGACATCCCTTTCTGCAGTCCTGAATCAATCTAAACCTTGTTTAGCCAGAGTAGTACCACAGGTGATTTGGCCTTCTTCGAAAGAACCAGTTGTTTAAAAAATGCTTTGAAATACACTGCTTCCTGATGCTTTCTCTTTTACATGCCCATGTTATCCGCAGGATATGGCTCCTGATGCTCCTTGCTCTAATTTACCAAGTTTTTTGACCCACAAGCTACTATTCCAAACAGAAATTGCCCAGTCATGGCCTCCTATTTCACCGTAGAATAGAATGATGCAAAAAATGCAGATGTCTCCTAGCAGCCAGTTCCTTTGCAGAATCTCCCTAAGAGTCATGAAGTGTCATGACTTGGATTTTGGAACCCGTCCGGGTCACTGCACTATAGGAGAAGTTGAAACGCCTGCACATCATCTCTGGAACCAATATTTGTCCAGGAAATGGAATCATCTGACACAATATCAGCAGGGGCCTGACTTCAACTCTTCAGAGCTGATGCTGCCACAGTCAGCAATGAATGTTAGGGGGAAAACCGCTGATTTGAACCTGCAGTAACTTCTCGCTTGTAGAGGCACACCAGGTGCAGCTCTCAGCCCTGTGCTGCAGCTGGTGACAGAAAAAGACAATACTTGGACCTACAGGCAGAAAGAGTCTGTGCTCCAGTGTTACCACACTCCTGTGCTGCTTCTGCTTCCATAGGGTCTTGGCTTGCGCAGCAGCAATGAATGTGAGCTGAATGAATGCAGACAACAGAGAAGACCCCACTTACCCTCTTGAGAATTTTACAGAAGCTTACCAGGGAGGAGAAAACTAAAGTCAGAAGAAGCTATAAGAATCTTTTTCTTCTTTAATACATATCCAAGGAATCTATTTCTGGCATTCCATATCTATATATGTGTCCTCTTTTTCTTGCTGTATCTCTGTGTTCTTACACATAAAACCCCATTTAAGTTTATTCAATCATCACCCTACTGTTGCGCTTTTTCCACCACCATGCTTACTGGTCCTGCCCCCAGAGGAGTTTGAAAGCATTCACCTTTGCACCTATTTTGAAAGCTAAGCACATCTCTTCACTTTAGTGCTTCTTCCTGATTACTCTTTGATGCCTCCTTACAGCGTATGTGGGTTTTCATATCACCCATGCACTATACAGGGAGTCTGCTCACCAAGGGAAGGCGGCAGCACCTCCCCAACATTAAAAGACAGTGTCAAAACTGGGAGCAACTTCCTTGTTTTAAACGCAAGGCAGACAGGTAGCAACTAAACAGACAGAATGACCTTAAAATACTTCTAAAAATGAAATGCTGGTTTAGATCAAACAGGAAAATCCCACATCACAGCAGAGTCTTTTCCACATAGGCTTGTATAGTTGGGTTTACTCTAGGGAAAAACATACTTTGCCCTCCACCCTGACATCATATTGGGAATGTATACACATTATCCTGATTCTAGTTTTCCTTGAAAGAAAAGCTGGGTGCACCAGGAGGAAAGAGCCACAATATGCTTTAAACAGTCCCTATTTTTGAAGATTTTTTTTCACATCTAGTTCAATATTCAAACAGATGAAAATCTCAAGAAATATATTGCCTAATTTACCTTTCGTATTTGCCTGCTGCATGAAAATTACAGATTTAGTGTCTGAATGCTTCCTATTCACATTGTATTTCATTTTGGTCTGTAAAAAGTTCAGTCTGAATAGATAGAATTATATGGATTACATTTTCTGCAAAACAGCAACTGAACAGATTTAAACAGCAGTTAGCATCTAAATGCAAGGAGACACTAGAAAAGCTTAAATGGGATTAGTACCTTGTTCAGACTGGCTTCAATATGGGTTGTGTATCTAATCATTCAGACATCTAGAAGGCTTTAAAAGGCAAAAGTGTCCACTGCATTTCAGGGCAGCTAACCATCTCTGTAAATCTCATTCTGTCTACATATATTGTAACAAATCCTCTAGAACATAAAAGTCCTTAACTTGCCATGTTTTTCCCTCACATATGAGCACAATTTTCCTTAACTTATTAACAACATTAATTGAAATTTAACATTTAGCATTTTCCCTCTCTTCTGTGCTTTATTCCCTAGGCAATCCCATTTACTTTTCTTATTGAGGAAGAGAATTCAATTAATAAAAAAAAAAAAAAGAGCCTTGTTACACTGTAAAGAAAAAATGAATCCTAGAGGACTTTATGCACAGGATTAGTAGTAATGAACTCACATTTTCAACTGTAGTTGGAAATCACTGAAGTATCACAACCATAACAATTTCCAGTATTAGTCTTTAATACCATTAGACTACTGGGAAAGTTATATAGTAATAAAATTTATAAGAATCATAACTGAAGATGCTTGACTGCTTCTTTTGGAGGGGCACTTCTGATCAGATTTTGGAAGCATTTAGACTTCAGTATAGTGCAGAGCTTACTGATTTCAACTGATTTCTCAAAAAAAACTTTCCTCGTACTCCCCACGCTCAAAAGAACAACTGAAATTTTGGTCATTTTAGTGGTGCCATAAATAGCCATTCTGGGGTGTGCTAAGCAATGTCGTCGTAAAATAAGAACAGCACTTTCTAAATCTGTAAGGAGGTCCATGCTATATTATTTTTTCTATTATAATGTTGGAGTTGCACTAGTCTCACTCTTGTACTATTTCTTTCTTGAATGTGCCATAAATAAAGCAGATATAACTGAACATATTGTCTTTGTATCCCATCTTACTTACTACATTAAGCTTGGTTTGGCTTCCACCGGTCATAAGTTCTTCCTCTGATACTTTACTAAAATTGTCCAGATAATGGTCTGATATTGTATGAGACAGATCTTCAAAAGAGTATTCCTTTTCTTGGCACAATTTGATTTCATCTAAGAGCTTTGATAATTCTCCAGTCACAGCTTCACCTTTAAAAACAGAGACACCATTAGTCAATAATTAGAATACTAGGGGTAATTTATGCCTAAAAAGGAAATTCACATTCTTTAAATTTTATTGAGGATCTGTAATATTCCATGCCTTATGATCTAAACAGTGACCTTCATGCACAAGTCTCCCCTCAAATATAATGGCATCTCATTCCAGAATAGGAATCACTGGAAGTAATGTAAATACTTCTGCATTCTCCTATACCTTGCATTTAATCAGGATGAATTGCAATATATACTTACCCTTTCTCTGTTTACTAATCCTGAAAATTGGCTAGAAATAGCAACTATCCAAGAATGTAAAATTAATCCAGGAAAGGAAAGATTCTACAAACATACAAAATCAGTGTCCCATATTCTGCATCAGGCTCATGTCTGCTGCTGTGATCAGTTAATACACTACATAGGTTCCATAAACTGTAAGTAGTTCGGAAATGAGTTTCCGAGAATGCACATCTCTCCCATCAAATTAACCATGTTTTACAAACAATTCTTGCTTATTTTCCCAGGATTAAATGGAATGGTGGAAGGATATACTGGGCAAAACTCACAAGTTTAAAACATGCCTCCCTAGAGCAGGCTATCAGAAATCCATGTTTAGTGCATTCTGCATCGTGTTTCATATTTTCCCCTTAATTTATCAGATATCTTTTGTTAAGAAATCTAGCAGAATAGCAAGACAATGGGCTTTGTACGTCTATACCAACAGAGGGCCACTATTAGAAATACTGATAGTAGTAAGTATTAGAATTACATTTAACACTAACTTTTCTACAGACAGCCCACTGGCAGTGGCAAGATCTCCACAGAGCAAGAAGCTACTTCTTATGAAGAACTGCATTAGGTTGTGATAATCTATTGCATGTGTTACACAGCTACTTTCAGAAATAGCAATGAAAATATGAGTAAAAGTCAAGTTTTTCCAGGGGCAAATAAGAAACCTCTTATCTTGATTAGGTTTACAAGAGTGATGTTGTTGGAAACTACAGTCCTTATAATTGATAAAATATAGAGATAATTCCATTTTACTCCATCTTTGGGAATACAATGCTGAAAATGAAAAACAGAGCGAGCATATTAAGCTCAGCATACATACAACACACATATGTACATTCATGTGACTAAAGAAGCCCTGGATAAGATTCTATCTGCTTGGTCTAGGCTCTTTTTGTGTTAATTTTCTTCATAGTCTAGGCAAACATAAATATTATTTTAAATTACAACTATAGCCAGTTATGACTGAAATTTTTTCAGAGCCAAGAACGGAAGTTGTAATTAAAAGCACCTAATTGCCTTTTAATATCTAAGTAACAGAAATATTGCATTCAAAACTCTTGTTACTCTTAGTCAATGGTAACTTTGCACTTTTAAATTAAACAAAGATATAAACAGGTTTATTTATGTTCTGCTTTTTAATTAGAAAATTGAAATAGTTCCAGATTAATATTATAATACATAAAAATTGGAAGTAAAATACCTAAGTATTAAGAACTATTCTACAGTCATGATACAGTGCCCTAAAAAGAAACAGGACTACTGTTTCCTGCAGAACTATGTTCATGTCCCCAGTCCCATGTTCTCCCATATACGGCCTGCAATATTTCTTACTGGGCCAGAATCAATTCTGTCTGTCAAAACTGGACCCGCAAGGGTGCTGACTGACCTGAGTAAGTGTACACTAACTGTCTGCCTGATTACTACCAGAAAGAATACATAGAAGAATCATTTTGCCTATTTCTTTCAGTGTAGGTACTAATTAAGATGTCTCTCCTTTATCTAGCTACCTATTTTCATGGAAGTCACAGAAAGGTAATTGATACTGCTATCCCTCTTCCAAATTTGCTTTAAATTATTTGAAATTAGATTGTCAGAGAATGGCAGACAGATGGATGGGAAGCACAATCAAGTACAATTTCTTTCTTTTAGAACCAGATTACACAATAGACAAGCAAAAGCCAGCTAGCACATTTTACAGTATTTATACCTTGAAAGTGGAAATGTGAAATCATGACCTTATTGTTAAGCAGTAAAATATACTTTACAAATATTTACTACTTAATTTCAAGACAGACATTTCTATTGCATAGGGTAGTTGACTTCACGATTCTACTAATCTCAAAGGAACTATTTATCTTTGTACACCATGTCTGTTAAGCACCCCAATGGGAAACACAGATGGAACTAGAGCATTTGTTTACTATCAACATGAACATCAGAATCTGGCATGCAACAGTAAGCTTAGTTTTCTCATGAATGACAACTCTCCCTGTAAATGTGGTTAAAAAAAAAAACCCACAAGCTAACTAAAAAACCACCAAAACCAACACACACACACACCACCCCCAACAGAAACAAAGAAGGGAGGCTTAGTTATCTGCCAGCAGTCAATTACAGAAGGCAGAAGTCAGGTCTGGTTCTACAGAAGGATGATTTTCATGGAAGAGCAGGACACCACCACACTCAGGAAACCTGGCTATGGTGTGTAAAGGTGTGAAACCTGGCTATGGTGTGAATCGGAACATAAGATGAAAGCAAGTGCACACAACAGTGACAGTCACACTATATGAAAGATACGTTAGAAGAGGGATGGAAGAGCAGCACACACATGATCTCTGAAAGACGCATCCAAATGTAACACAAGTAGAAGAGATACTCACTGGGAAAGATAAAGTAAATTCAGTCTTTAACTTGAATGTGCACAATGCCTGCAGAGTAATTCAACATATCTAATATCCTTTTGTTTCACTTGATATGAAATGTGGAAGGTCAGATAAATTAAAAAGATATAAGATGAAATAATGTAATACATTGTAATCTATCAGTGACTTGTCCTTTCTGAGAATACAGTTCTTTGCTTTCCTATATGACATGGATTACAGTGTATGTAGTCAAGACAGGTAATTCAGGGTGGAAAAAAGCTTCTCAATATCAATAACTTTCTTAATCTCTCTTTTTCATTTTGTATGTTTGTATGAATGTGTTAGCAATATAATTTTAATATTAAAGAGAAGTTCAGTACAGCTTCTGTATTCACAGAGTACATGTATTTACTTTTAGCCTTTGGAGATGGAGGAACTTCTGGGGACAAAATGCAAGACTGATGTTCTGCACATTCCAGTGGGCGCTCCTCTGAAATACTTGCATTTCCTGTTTCCATATATTCTGCAATTTAAAGATACACATACACTTAAACTCCTGAATGAAGGCAGAATCAAAAACATATTTGCTACTTCATTTTTCATTAAACCTTTTCTAATTTTTTATATTACAACCTTGTAATTATTCATAAACACTGCTGCAAGGCAATCATTTATTGAGAGTATTATAAAACACCGTAATGGCCAGTTTGTTAATCTGCTGAAACTGTTACAGAAATCTCATTGTAGGAATAGAGTTGTGACTCTCCCTGTGTTTTTCCTGCCCCATTTCAAATATCTATGTAACTGTTCCATTATATTATCACTGTTGAAAGAGTCTTCTTTTATTTTGTGAAGAGTGTTTTAGTAAGGATATTCAGGATGTTCACAGTAAGTAGATATATTGATACTGTTAAGAAAACCAAATATTCCACTTGCAGCACAGAGACAGTATACGAGAAAAAAGAATGCAAGCTCAAAAATTTAGTTAAAGCTAGCAGTCTAAAAAGCAGTGTTCAAAATTTTTGTGCTTTTCCACCTTAAAAACTTCCCTTGTTGCCTCTTCATGATGATGTTTACAAAAACAGAAAAACATTGAATGACCAAGTGCTAAACTGCAATTTTGTTACTATTATTTTTGTGTAAATACACATTATTTTCATGTGCTTTTGTATACGGGCTAGCTCAATGGAACACCAAGACCTTAATAAATGGTATTGTAGGACAAATATTAAGTAATGAATTATAAATTAGTTCATGCAATAGTGGCACATTTTTTCCCATCAGAGTAACTGATTCTGAGTTCAGGCAGTTACTCTGCATCTGCATTTTCTTGACTTTCTGAAGTTGCTTAAACAAGTTCTTTCTATTACCAGATACTAACCACAAAAGTACATGTTGCAACTCACACAAAAGCAAACTACAGTAACAGCTTTCATCAATATCACACTGAAGGACTAAAGAGTTTCTAGGAATTTAAAATTTCCTGATTTAATTTCTACAGTCTACCACACACTTGCTTAGCTTGCTGTTATTCCTGATCAAATAACAAATCCCAAAACCCAAATACAATCTGTGATAAAACAGACATCTGAGAAAACGAAATTGGAAATGGCAGAGAACAGCATGCAGTTTCAGAATGCTTTGCAGGTTGTTGGTTTTTTTAAAAAGAATGTGTGATTTGAAAAGTCATATATTAAGTTTGATGGCTGGCAATGGTCCCCTAGATAATCTGTCACACGAAAATAGCCACTTCTATATTTTTGTGTAGTGCTGAAAGCAAGGAAGCAAGGATAGAGGAGCCATAAGAGACCATGAGAAAACCAGCAGCATGACAAAATGCTCTGGAAAGTTTTCCAGCTCTGTCAGCTTTCTTATTTGTCAAGTTAGTGTGCAAGATGGAGGAGAAATAAAAAGGAAGCTAGACCCAAAGAAAAATAAAAGGAAAAAAGGAATTCATGTCTGAAAATATTTGCTGATAATTGTGTAACTGTCCAAAAAGAAACCTAAAATGAAGCGTTACCAGGTAGGAGTGTCAAAATTATCGGATTAGTACAGTTATTACTAGGAAAGGAAATGCAGGGGACATTGTGAAGGACCTTAACCTTGCTGTCCAATATTCGTGTAAGACTGTGGTTTTAAACTAATACCCTCTTTTTATTCTTTGTCAGGCCCCACTTTCAGACCAATGCACTTACCTGCTGAAGGCTAGTTCTGAGGTGGAAATCCCAAGTTCAATATAAGTTTCATAAATACTTTACAAACTGCCAAGTTCCTTTCAGAAAACCTCTACAAAAGGCACAGCACAAGGTATGGTGTAGGGGTTTAGAATGAGCCAGCAACGTGCCATCCTTGTAAGAGTGCAACCCTTAAATCTTTGGACTTCTGTGGGACTTCTACTCAACTTGGTTTTATACTACTGAAAATTCTATTGGATATACATGAGACAATGGAGTCAGTTGTGAGAGGCTTATAGTCTAGGTAAATGTATACTTACCCATAATATTATGAAACGGACACAAAACAAGTGATCTATGTCAAGAGCCAAAGACAAAGTACACACAAGCAGTGAATGCTTTCACCAGCAACTGAATCCTATTCACCTGCAGCTGGCTAGAAATTCATCTTCAAAGCCTGCCCAAACTTACTGAAAAAGATGACACTGTTACTACTATCTGCTCTGAGTCCGGTGTACTTGAGAGACTGCTCTGGATTCTACCACTTGCCTCAAAAAAAAAAAAGAATTCAGAACAAAGCCAAGCTTAGTCAATTATAACACTTAATGACCAGAACAGTTTCCCCAGCTGTAGTCTCATGGAATCCAGAGAAAAGCCTGTCATTCTTACAACAGGTGAGAGTAAAGGCTGTTTGGAACACAACCTGTCAGATTTATAATGCTTCCTTCACCAGCTTTCTGTCATCCTGTTCCATGTTTCAAAGACAGCCAGCATGACTAGCATGTAAGGGGTGAAGGAAGCAGATGTTAATACACACTTCAGAGATGTTTCGTCACTGCACTGCTTTGGGAAGAGTGGAGTATTTTACTTCTGTTGATTCAAATGGCAGATTACAGTTCAGTGAGAATTAATACTAAGAATCTCAAAAACTTTGCCTGATTGACATCATTCTTTTCTACAGTTATCTGATTTAAACATAGTCCCACTTCATCTAAATAGGGCTATGTGCACAAAAAGTAATAGCATAAAAGTGGTCACATAGTAGTGGAAATAAAAGCACCCAAGAAGGTAACAAGCACTGGAGAGTTCAAACAGCTGGAACTCCAGCTTTCTCAGTTTCTGTAACACCGGTTAGGCCAAAGCCAAGCAGAAGGGAAAGCGTTAACATGTAACCGAGGAAACACAGCTGGCTTTCCACAGACTGCCACAGCCAGGAAAGTGAGCCACAAAGAGAAGATGGCCCAGCTCAGCTGGAGTTGCTGCTGAACTTTCAGGGGCAGCAAAAGCTCAGGGTCTAGAACACAGCTTGCTTTAACTTCATCTCCTCTCAGGCCTAATTCCTCAGGGTGGTGAAAGGGTCAAGATTTTTGCTTTATTTATAAACCTTGGCTTTTTGAGTAATGGCTACATTAGCCTCAGAATTTTTTACTTTTCCTTTTATTAGAAAAAAAAATCCAAATTTTTTTTTATTATAAATAATTATGAACTCCTTTCCCTTTTGTTTTTAGAGACTACTTTGGTCATGCCATGGGGTGGATTCACATAGAGCTCATCCCTAGATTGATTTCCCCTAAAGAGATCAAAAGGCTTTTTAAACTCTCAAAAAGCCAAATTTGATTAGAATAGAAATCTGAACACTCACCTTTTCAAACAAAAGGCTCTCCAAGTAACTAGTTTAGAGGAATAAAACTGGTTTAGAAACTACTCCCTTCCACAGCCAATGTCCGTGCAGGGGGATCCTTACTACTCCTTCGCTCCTGCCTTCCCAAAGGACAGCAATCTTCAGAGCACCTTCTGCCCTCCCCAGGGCTGTCCCAGAACCTGGCTGAGGATCCTGCAGGTCTGTTGAGTCCTGCCCCAGCCCATGAGTTCTCTAAAAGGTCCTCCCAAAAAAGCTCATTTGCTCCCCTGGGAAGGAGCCCACCTGAGCCTTCATGACCCAGTTCCTCATCTCTTTACAGAAGCAGCAGTTACAGAAAACCACCTGGTAACTGCTACCATCAGGTGTGCTAAGGTGAGAGACTTGAGCTGAGATGGAGACTGGCCTGAATTCACTCTCTTAAATTTCAGAGGACAATTCTTAATGACTCAATCTTAACCCCAGAGAAACCTGAAATCAGTAGATGTTTACATTATAGGCACATAAGGAGACTTTTGTGCACATGTTCAGGGGAGATAGAAACAAGTACTTAAGTACTGCTATGATTCTGAGATACATAAAGGCACAGCTAAACTTTCAGTCCCCAAAACAACAGCAGTTAAATTGCTTCATAAACATAGTTAATACTCCACAGCTTATGCACAAAAGCCTATAAAAGTTGCTGAGAAGTTCCCAGAAAAAAACAACAAAGGGGGATTGAGTTCCCAGTTTTTCTCATCCCACATAGCTGTAATAAAATCCTTGACTGGAAACCTATTCCATCCTTCCAGTGAGACTGGCCTCCTGTGCTCAAGGGAATGGAAGATCTACTTGTCCACAGAAAGAGAGGGAGAGAAAGAGAGAGTGAGAATACACAAAAGAAAGCCCATGCTAAATGACTTCAAAGCTATTTAAGCAGAGGGGAGAAGAAAGGAGTCCTGTTTCTGCAGCTGCTTATGCATTTTCTGTTTATGAATAATTCGGTAACATGTACAAACAACGTTAGGTTCTTAAGCAGCTTCAGCAGAAGAGAGAGGAAAGAGCTTTCCATTTCATCTCCCTCCACACTGTCTTTGTGGCAGAGCTTATTGTGCCTTTCTGGGGCTCATGTAATTTTTCATCTGTTTATCTACTATCTCATTTTTTTCATAATAACAAGAATTCTGCTTCCAGAAATAGTAACAGATCAAGATTCTAATAGAGAGCATAGTGGGCTGTGGAGAAAGAGTTGAAAGATGGTATAGCATGCACCTGCGTCACGTTCACATGTGCTAAAAGTAAAACACAGCTGGTTGGTTTAATTTTAGGCCTACTAGCCTTGGCAACATCCCTTTTATCTTCAATGCCTAATTATAAAGCCCTAAGTGCCAATACTGTTAACTGCTTGAGCACTGAATGCTGTTGATTCACTTCATCTATGAAATGCATCTAGTAGACTGGCCTTGGCACACTATTCTAATTCTCCATTCTTTGAGTACATGAGGCCTAAACAGCTATTTCTTCAGTAGTACATAAAGAATCTAAACTCTAATAAGTATTTTTAATTGAGTTTAATGCAACTCAGACCTGAGCAAAACACAGAAAATGATGGGACATATATAAAAGTCAAAGAATTAAAACTTGAATTGTCATTTCTAATAATTCCATCTATAATTAACGGGCATTAAAAAAAACATTCAGGTGGTGTACGGCTTACTCAGCCTTTTTCATGTTGCTCTTCAAAGTGATTTTGTTATTCATTTTGTTTCTGTCAGATAAAGTCCCAAAATCTCTATCAAGACGGCAGACTTTGCAAACACAAAAAAAATTTTTTGCAGAAATTTCAGTTACTATTTTCTCAGGGTAGTGAGAAAAGATGTAAAGATCAGATCACAAAAACACTAGGGTCACTTCTAAAACCTTGCTGGCAAAAGGTTTTGTTTCTTTTTAACCTATAATCTATAAGAAGTAATTTTGCAAATATTCTTAAAAAAAGGAAGAACACCAATAGAAACTTCTATCCACAATTCTTAAATTCTGGAGGCCTCATTCACAGGAGGCTACCAGTCCTGTAGGTTTTAGTATGAGCTGAATGGATTTAGTATTACTGCCTCCATGAACTGCTTCTGAAGACATAAATTACTTTCTTCTTCTTTGAGGATTCTCATAAGTATCATCAAAATCAACTCATTTTCTTTCAAAACTTTTCTTACAACTGTGTTACCCCTCTGCATATAGGACAGAACACTACCTATCAGGCCCACCAGTAACACCAGTCATATTATTTCCTTGTCCATTTCTGCCAGTCTGCTTATATGCATTTTTGACTCTTTGTTTTATATTTTGAAAGATGTTGTCTTTCAACAACAGGATAGGGACAAATATTATGCTATGTTAATACTATAAACATTACAATAACACTTAATGCAAGGGGGAAATGGTAAAAACTAATGAGAATGCTAGGCAACAAAATCATACTCTGTCCTGGCAATGAGATGAAAGAATCAATTCAATGCCATTGTGTCTGCATAAAGAAAAGAATTAGGAAGAAATTTAGAAAATTTGGTCAGTAATTGTCTGATGCCATTAATTTAATTTATTTTCCTATAAGTCTACTTGAAGGAGACACGCAAGCTTCTCTAGACGATCATCTGAAGACAGGAGCTTTAACAGGAATGTATTTGGAAGCCACTACCTCTTCTCTCAGCAATTGCCCTTTCTTTACATGGAATTCATTACCTACTGAAGTCGAACTCAATTATAGTTCATTCAGGTTTCCCAAATTCCCAGTGCTTCACTGATTTTTCAGCTATAACAGGATAAATGCCCACACTTCAGTGAAGAGTATACTCGACCGGCTTTTTAGGGGAGGGTAGGTCTACTGTATCATCAGCAGTGCTACTACTGAATCCTGCCACTCCTGATTTTATTTTCAACTTCAGCACACAGTTCAAACTTTATCTTTGATGGTTAAAGCTTCAGTGAACCCTTTGCTGATGAAAAAGAATCCCAGTGGATTCCACAAGGGAGTTCCGAAGGGGCTCCTCAGGTTTTCTTAAGACTCAGAATGACATCTTTGTAAACATTTTTCATCCTGGCACGTTGCTTCTGAGTATAAAGCAGACAGAGCAAAAGTAAACACATGCTTGTTACAAGCAGTTCCGTCATACTAATATGAGCTGAAACTACTAAGCAGTCTTCTTTTTATTATCAAGGCACACATGTGAAAAAGATTGCATGTCAAAGCACCAAAAAGCCTTGAAATGTATATATTTCTTTTTTGATGTAAAAACTAAGAGCAGGTACTGATCCATCAACACGACAAGCTTTTGAGAGAGGTTTGGGTCATCTATTTTTCATAGACCAAGGGTACTTTGAAGAAACTGTTCATCAATGAGATTGAGACTGCAAGGTTATCACACTAAGGAGAAAATGGAATACAGAGACAATAAAATGAAAATTAGTTTAGTTGGTCACATTATATTGAATCTTAGATTAATATCTGAAGGATGTTTGATTTGGATGTCTAAGAAAGTAGAAGGTCTGACTGACCCTTTTCCTGCCACTGAAGAAGTTTCGGAATGATATTAACCCTCCTTTCTTTTACATAGAGATGTATCGTTCACGTTGCAGCTCAGTGAGGACATAAAGGCTGAAGTTTCACCATACAGCCTGAGTTAAATTAGGAACTCCCTTCTGCTGATAGCGGGAAGTCCTACTTCCCTCACCCATATCTTCCTCCCTACTTTTTGATGCACATTTCTGCCGGTTACCTGGGACAGAACTAACTCTGGGACCTAAGTCACATAGGAGGCAAGTTCATTAAAACACACAAATTAATATTTATATAATTACAATTTGATTATTTATTATTGTTTTAATTTTTATTTTAATTACTATTTTTAATGTTATTACTATTAAATATAGGTAATATAATAAATTCTATATTTTATATATTACTGGTTCATTAACTGAATCAGATCACTTTGCAGATGCTGTAAGCAGGGAACATGGAAGAGAACTGTATAGCTGGAAGTAGAGCAGGAGGGAGGGGGAAAATGGGGGAAAAGGAAAAAGAAAATAGGAAGGAGGAAGAGAGGTAGACATCAAGGCAGGCTGTTAATTCAGTTCAGCTATAACATGAATCTGCTCCTTAAGAGAATACCTCTCCTCCAGCCTACAAAATTTTCATTATGCTTATAGGAGCTTCGTATCTTCGGTCCATCATCTCACTGGAAAACTTCACTGAAGCTGGCTAACTAGTTTGGAAGTTATTAAGAAAAGAAAACCTGAAGGACGCAGTATGGCCATATGACCTCATTTTCTCTAGGAAATGTTCTTATGAAATACATTTATGTGAGACAGTGAAGCATGAGCTAGTTCACATGTAGAGCCAACGCTGAACTGATTAAAATGACTTATTTAAAGATGGGAATAATCAACACAGGTGGAGGTGCGGCAATGATACCTGCAGGGAACTCCTCTGTCAAACACGGGTAATGAAAGACTAATCTGAAAATGCAGGTGATAAATTCCATAGAAGAGCA